TAAATAAATAAATAAATAAGAAACAAAGCTGACAGTTTTTTACAAATGTTGGATTTTATGATATCGAGTATACTTCCTCGGGAATCGGTCTTCTTTATCTTAAATCAATGTTTTTAAACTTTTTCCAACCATAATAAATTTAAAGAAAATAACGGTAACTGAATATTTATGTTTAACGGAGAAAAAAAATTCGTTACATTTGTTCCAAGTTTATATTGGGAAGGTTGCAATGCCTAAAATTGATACAACAAGTTTCAACTTTCTTTATTTGTAATTTAGCTGAATTAATAATAAAATTACAACTTAGGATAATACACTTAAACTTTAAAATAAAGATATTTAAAATATTTTTTTCCCAACCAATCAATATTTAATTTACAAATATTTTAAATTTTTAATAAAGTTTCTCGTTTATAGTTAACATTTCTTTCGATCTTATTTTCAAATTCTCTTTCGAAAATCTTTCTATATCTGTGTTTTGAAAACCTTCTTATCAAATGGGGTCAGAATATTGAGCATGATATCGTCCGGTCGTAGGCGACACGATTTCGAATTGGCTGACCTACTCGGTACTGAGAGTAAGTGTCACACAATCATTTGTAAATATCTTAAAAGTGTAATGGCTCAAGCCTACCGCTAACCGATATTGTTTGTTTTAGCTCATTACAAATGGTATTAGAGTTTGACACGGAATGATATGCCAGCAAAAATGCTAGGTTCCTACAGGGGGAGAGAGTGGATTGTAAGATCTCACTTTAGTTGTTAGAGAGAACGAAACATTTCTTATAAAAAGTGAAAACTTCTTTTTGAAAACGTTTTAAAACCGTGAGAAAATAGGTAATATCTACTAACCATAACGATGGTGACATGTAGACTAGGAATATAGATTACACTTCAACGGTCAATTTTGGTTGTGTACCGATTTGAATTCATTGTTTATTAAAAAAAAAAAAAAAAAAAGTAGAATAGAAAGAATGAATGAGATCCGTGGGGGCGAGGGTAAAGCAAATGCGTGGCGAGCGGAGCGGGCGCATTTTGAGATGGAATCCAAAATGGGCACTCAAAATAATAATCCTCTACAGGTGTCGCACCGTATAACAACCGTGGTCCCTTCTCCGTTTTGTAGCATTTAGTTTCAATTTTTATTTAAAAAAAAAAAACATTGAAAATTGGAAGAGAATTGGATTCACCTCTCTTCTCTCTCTCTCTCTATCGTATTTAAAAAATTGATAGTAAATAAAGAAAAAAGAGAAAGCGTGGGGTAAGATTCCTGCCACACGAACAATAAATAAATAAATAAATAATTTATATATATATATATAGCTCAAATTCAAAATTCAAATGCCCCGAAGTTGAATCAAATTAATAGCTATGAATATGCAACCATGCTCCTAACTTCACTTTCACGTGCCTCGAACCGTAAATTTAGACTTTTCGAGAGATGAGAGACATAAACTACATATTCTAATACTTCTAATGAATCATAACATTATAGTTTATCGTAGGTTAGTTTGAGATAGAGCTAACCCTTATCTTGTTCAGCCACCTAATTAGCAAACTGCTAACCTAGTCAAGGTCGATGCCTAAATCCTTCTCTCCCCTAGGCTCGTAGCTTGGGCTTAGAATTTATCGGACTTATTGATTACAATTTATTTTCTGAAAAAAGAAAAAAATGTCTCCATTTTAACAATAATAAATTACGTTGTCTAATGAAAAATATTAAGTAATCAAACTCTTTTTGTTTTATTTTTGAAGGGAATAACTTTGTTTAATTATTTTTCTGTAATTTAAAAAATAACTATTGCAATATACCTAGAAACCACAATGACATTAAAAAAACAAAATAAACAAACTAAACTATTGTTTTATTTAAAAAAGAATAACAGTAGGTATTTTTGCTCACTTATTGTCCACTCAATTTAATAATAGGACAGAGAAGCTTTATTCCCCATATTTTCCATCCAATAGGCGTGACTAAGCATAAGATATTTTAATTAAATTCCATAAATCAAATTAACCTCCTATTTTTATTTAATTAAATTATATAAATATAGTTTCAGTAATATCCTTTAATTAAAAAAAAAAACCTTAGCCGTTTAAAATATTTTAAAATTACGACATGTAATTTATGTGTTACATAGGTTTTATAGAGTTATCGTATGTTTTTTATATGCATTTTATGTTTGTGTATTATTTAAAATTATTTTGCTACCTGGGGGCTACGTTT